TGCACAACATCCATATCATTAAGCATAGCATCATTCCATAAAGATGTAAAATTATAACTTTCATTATTATTGAAATTAAGCAGACTATTATGATAAAACAAATTACTAAAATCAGAATTTGTATATATTTGACTATTATCATCTTCAATTTTTTCATCTTTTATGATAAGATCAGTTTCTTGGAAATTCTTTATTTCATCATCGATTATTTCTTTTTTTATCTTTAGTTGAATATTTCCTTTAAGATCTTCAATCTCTTTTGTAAAATTATTTTCCATCTCTTCTTTTTCTTTATTAAGAATATTAATTACTTCTTTTAAATCAAAATTTTCTTTTCTCAATTTCAAAATTATTTCTTCTAATGATGATAAATAATCATTCTTTCGTTTCAAATATTCCCTTTGAGCTCTGCGATTTTGATATTTCTTTCTACTGATTTCATGATCATCATTTGATTTTTTCCTACCACTTTTTGTTTTTTTTTGAAAAAATTTTTTGTGAGAATTAATATCTAGTGTAAAATTCATTTTGAAAAAAAAATGTTAAAGGGTATTTAATTTATGACTTCTTTTAAAGCTTTTGAAGGAATACAAAAAAATATTTAATTTAGATATAAGAGGAAATTCCCTAAAGAAATTTCTCAATAAGACACAATGGCTTCATCATTTGATATAAATTCATCAGCCTTCAACAGAAAAATTTCTATCTTTTCACAAATCCTTTGAATCTTGATGCGCAAACCCAATTTGTATTTCTCAAAATATCGATCATGTTATAAATTTGGATAATATCATTATTTCTCACAAAAGATGGATTAAAAAGCAAAAACCATTGAATTGTATTACATATATTTTCCAATTTCTTAAATATCCATGCATATTTATTTGCACAACATCCGATAAATAGAAAAGGAAATTTGGGACATTCTTGATAAATACGAAAGAGATCATAACATATTGTATTCATCAATATTTTCATATTCATAAATTCAAAATATAAACACATTTCAACATATGCAAACTAAGATAAAATACTATTTTATATAGATTCTCATTATTAATATAAAATAAGCAAAAAAAATAATTATGATAAGATAAAAATTTATAATTTCAAATAATATTTTATTTAAATAAAAAAATATTATTCATAAAGAATATCATAAAGAATATCTAATTCTTCTTTATCTAATTTTTTTTCTATAAACAAATTTAAATCTTTAACAATATTATTTGAATAAGATAAAATAATATTAGATTTCTTAGCAATATATTGTGCTTTAGGAGAAAAATCAGTATTTGTTACAATCACACCTTGAGAATTGTAAAAACTAGCTGCATTAAAAATTCTCTCAACATCATTAAAACCAACTTTTGCCTTTGGTCTAAATTTACAACATACAAGAAAATCAAAATCATATTTATAAACTAAAAGATCTTTATCTCTATCATTATGAATATAATCTTTAATGAAATTTTCATTAATTTCATATTCATTCAATTCCAAAAATTGAATAATATTATCTTTATAATCAAGAATCTAAATAAAAAAATAGTAAGTATATTATATTACCATACTCAAGATTCAACGATTTTAAATAATCTTTAATAGGAGCCAACTAAATGCAGGCTATTAAAACTTTTAAAATCATCTCATCTAATAAATTTCTTTTCAAAGGCGATTGCTTTGCCGATACCAGCCACAAAGCCTCACTCAAACTTCAGCGTAAACAAGAAATTTATATATCAAACATAAAATACTCAATGAATCAATACTCACTTTATCTTTATTATTTAATTTTGCCATCTTATAATTTTTTTTTCATCAATCATGTCTTATTTATATATTTATTTAATTAATAATTCCTTAAATTATTATAAAATCAAATAATTACAAAATTAATTAAATTAAATATTTATGATATAATATTAATTACTTTGAATATTATAAATAAACATGAATTTTACTCAAATAAAATATCGTTCAAAATGTATAAACTACCTAATGAAATATATGAAAAAATTATCAAATATATAACAAAAGAACCAGATCTCTTTACAATCTCTTTAACATGTAGACTTTTCTTTAAAATCTCAATTCCAACACTTTGGCAAGATCCTTTTTATTTCATTCAAACAAAATATACTATATTTGGTGTTGAATATTTCTTCTTGATGCTTATGTATAACTTTCCTGAAATGAATTTAACATACGATGATAAAAAAATAATCTTTAAAAGATTAACATATAAAACCCCTTTAACGAATTACTTTTCTTTTATAAAAACTATAAATACTCATAATATAATATCTATTTATCAAAGATTGGTAAATCATGATATATTCGGAGATAATACCATCCTTATAAGTGATTTGGTACCTTTTCTCTATACTTTAAATATAGAACATTTATTTTTTATATCTAATCTATATAGTGAAACATCTAAAATAAATGCTTTTATATTCAAGAAAGGATTTTGTTCTTTGACGAAAATTTTTTTTTATAATATCTTTATCCAAGATTTTCCACTTTTCGTTAATTTTTTGATTAGGATAAAAACAAAATTAAATATCCTATTTTTCAAGAATTGCATGTTTGATGAATGTTTATTCAAAAATGAACATTTGTTAATATTAGAAAAATATCTCTCGAATAATATTCATTTGGAATATTTGGAAATATTAAACAATTTTTTAAATAACGATGATTTAATTCTTTTAAACCATATTTATAAAGATAACAAAACTATTAAAAAAGTTAATATCGAATCAAATATTTGTGATCATTCAATTATATTGAATTTAAGAGATTTCATTTATTATTGACAATACTATTATTTTCTTTTATTTATAAATAAAATATGAAATATGAATATGAATTATATGATACATGAATTATATAAATATGAATATGAATAAAAATTATATAAAAGAAGTTTGAAAATACGATAATGAATCTTGTATACTATTTTCATCTATATATTCTGATAATAGATTATCATCAAAATTAACTAGACTATTTTCATCTAACAAAACATCCGTATTTAAATATTGAATATAATCATTGTATTGATTAATATTAAATTCTCCTATATATACCTGTTCATTTTGAACATTATCATTATCAATTTTTTCCTCTTCGTTGTAATCCATTTCTTCACTTTCTTTATTTATTTCTTTTTCTTCAATTATCTCTATTTCTTTTATATCTTTATTATTTGAGAATTTTATTTCGAGATCTTTTATCATTTCTTCAAATTCGGTTTTTTCTTTATCTAATTTCTTTTTCTCAGTTTTGAATTCATCAATTTCCATTTTTAGAATTTCATTTTCCTTTTTTATCTCTTCATTTTCTTTTTTGAATGCGAGTCTTTCATCTTTTAATTCTTTAATATATCTTTTTAATCCTTTAATATATTCTGTTGAATTATATCTTTTCATTATTTTTAATTCTTGTTCCAAATCTTTCAATCTGTTTAACTCTTGTTTCTTTTTCATTTGATATCTTCTTTGGGATTCTTTACCTCTTATTTTTCTTTGTTCGATAATTTCGATCGTTGGTTTTGGTCCGGGTTTTCGACCAACTTTACTTTTAATTTTGCATTCTGGATTTTCGTTTAAATCTTTGTTGAGTTTTGGTCGGCCAGCCTTTTTCTTGATAGCAGACTCTTGGACTTTATGTAATTTAGCATCTACTTGTTGTGAATTCATTTTAATGATTTTTGATAATTGATATTTTTTTTTCTTTGATATTTTTGTTGTTTGCAATTTGATAATTTGATTTTTTTTTCAACGATGATAAATTCACCACCTTTTTAAATCTTTTGAACATTATATGGATAAATACAAAAAAATATTTAATCTGGATATATACAGAAAAACCTTAATAAGTAATTTCCAAATAAGAATATTTCTTTAAGAGGAATTCTCTATAAAATATTTGTCCTCGCAGCATCTGACTACCACAAAAACCTTATCAACCTGTGACAAAAACTTTTTTACTTTGTCTAAAACATTTTTAATCTTATTACGCAATCTTAATCTGGAACGCTTAAGATTGATAATCATCTTATAAATCCGGATAATCTCATCATTCATCAAAAAGAAGGTGTTATCAATCAAAAATTTCCAAATAGAATATTCTATTCTATCAATAATTGATAAATATCTTTAATCTCTGATAAAAAAGAAAATAAATTTCGGAGTTTCATGATAAGCAGCATCTAGACTTTTGTATATATTATTCATCAATGATTTCATGCACAGAAATTCTGACTGCGTACACATTTTTGTATTCCGGATAAACTGAAATAAAGTGTTTTTATAAAGAACATATTAATAATTAATTCTTTAAACATGTAATACAAAACAAAATAGATAAATTCTTTTCAAATAAAAATTCTTTAATTTTTTGTAATGTAAAAATTAATAATATGAACAAATAAAAATTTCAAATTCGAAAATTTTATTTACCAATAAATGCTTATCTTTCTTATCATTAATAAAAAAGGAAATATCTTGTTTTGATATCTCATGACTTATTTACAAATGAAATAAACAAAGTCACATCTTTAAAATTTTACGCAAAAACTTTTTGAATACAAAATTTCAAAAATCATTTTTAATAATTTAAAATATTGTATAAATACAAAAAAAAATATAAAATTATAAATAATAAATTGCTATCCTAATGAAAATTTAAAATCATCAATTGTTTTATTTTATAAAAATTAAAAAAAAAATTTTAAAAATGTCTTTTGTCAAAAAATTCATCTCTAAATTTAACAAGAAACAACAAATTATTGAAAAAAACAACTGGAATAATTATCAACAAGATGATTTTATTTCTTGGAATATTGAGAAAGAAAGTGAAAAATCTTCTTGGAGTAATATCGATGAAGAAGAAGAGATTGACAACACTTAGTCGTTTTCTGAACAACAAGAAATTTCTTCTTATTCAGCTAACGAACAAGAGAGCCAATCTCTTGAAATTCCTGAATCAACTATAGTTCAAAAAAAAGCTAAAAAAAATAATGAAAAATATTTATTCGAATTAATATTATTAATATTAATTCTTATATCTTCTCTCTTTTCTATAATTTTAGTCTGGATTTTTGGACTATCTTTATTATATAGAACAAAATTTTTGTTAATAAAATTAAAACTTGCAGAAAATGATTATATTATAGAAGTTAACCCTTTTGAAATAATGTTTAGTCAAACTTCAATTAATAATATATTTCAAATAGGTAATAACATAGAAAACACTATTGATGACCTTGTCAATAATAAAATAAGAATAGAAGATTTTCCTTTAATAAATGTCTGTATTATCGAAGATATCTTTTATTCTTCTGATAACAGAAGACTTTATTGCTTTCAACAAGCAATAAAAAAAGGATTAAATATTAAAAAAATACCTGTAAATATCAGACGGGTATTTGATTTAAATATTAATTGGAAGCTAAAAGGAGCATATAAAATTATTAGAAATAACAATTTTAAAAATGTTGTAGTCACTCCATATGCTCGCAATAGTCGAGTAGTGGGTGAAGAAGGATATTGGGAATATCGGGAATTTTAGTTTTTTTTTAATTATTAATTAGTATATTTATATTATATTTTTATCTGTATATATTATCAATTTGTAATAAAGTTTATCAAACACGTATTGTTTATCAATTCTTATCATCATGCATAATTTTTTAAATTTTAGTAATGATCATCTTAAATGTATTATGTTTATCAAATGCATATTATTTATTAATAATATATTTTTACGCTATTATAAATTCAGAAATAATCATCTTATTTAAATTTATCTCTAATAATAAAATTTAAATTGTCGTGTTCATCGTGTTTTTTTCACGACTATCACAACAGTTTTTAATATTTGGATTGTCGTGTTCATCGTGTTTTTTCACGACTATCATGACAGTTTTTAATATTTGGATTGTCGTGTTCATCGTGTTTTTTCACGACTATCACGACAGTTTTTAATATTTTAATTATTTATTTATTTTAATTTGATGATATAATAAAAAATTATTAAAATAATTAAGATTAATAATAATCAAGTATTTTTTAAATCTTTAAAAAGAAATATTCCTTTTTTTTTTACTGTTTATAAAAAAAAATGATTCATGAAATTTGGAATCAATATTCTGATGAAACTTCGGGTTTTAAATGTAAAGAATGTAATCAATTTTATATAAAACCTATTAAAATTGATACGTTAAAAAATCATTTTATCAGAAATCATCCTAATACATAGAATAGAATTAAATCCTTGAAAAAGACAAAAGGAATGAAATTCATTAATCAACTAGAAAATATCGAAATTGAATCTATTTCAAATTCTTCAAATTCTGATTCTTTAAATCCTGAACTTTTAAATTCTGATTCTTTAAACAAAAAAAAAGAAAAAAATAATAATAATCATAAAATAATTGAAAAATTCGAATGTTTAAATAGTGAAATGATGATTGGTAATGATATTCATATTGTATCAAAACAAATGTTTATTAGAAGATTAAAACAATAATATATTTAATATTACTTATAATTTTTAAATTATATAAATAAAAAAATTTATTTTATCATTTTTATAATTGCGCAACTTTTTAAATTTTTAGTAATGATCATCTTAAATTTATCTATCATATGTATAAAAGCTTATCAAATGCATATTGTTTATCAAATGCGTATAATTTATCAATGATATATTTTTATATCTTAGAAATCAAATATTTATTTATATTATATAATTAATAATTATAAAACATATAAATAAACTTAATTTAAAATCTTATAATAACATAATTTAAATGATGAATCACATGATCAATCTTTACGCTTTTTCTCTCTATTTTTTTTTTAAAATTTCTAAAATTAAATCATTTTGTTTCTTAATAACATTAACTTCTTCTTTAATTTCTTTAACCTCCTTTTCTAATTTTTCATTATATTTCTCAAGTTTTTCCACATGTTTTTCATATTTCTCATTAAACCCTTTTAATATTTCATTTTCATTTTCTAATTTAATATATTTAATCTTCTGTTCTTCTTCATCTAATTCTCTCTTTCGTTTCTTATCTTCAATAAGTTTAGCATATTCTTTAACTTTTTCAACAATCTCATAATCATAACAAACACAAACCCTATCTTTAACAGGAGAAATATTTAATTCATTTAAAGCATTATCACCCAACTCAACATTAGATACCAAAAAACCGATCTGATATTGAGTTTTTCTCAATACAGAATTTAGAAATTCTCGCATCTCATTTGCTTGAATTTTATATCTTTCATTCTTGTATTTACATTGACAAAAATAATTTAAAATTCCACATTGACCTAAAATAAAAAAAAGTTCTATAAATATATTATTGCATCATCACAATTGTTAATATTTACACGGGCGATTAAACAAGTTAAACCTCTTGAAACCGCGAGTCTGTTTCTCACTCACCACAGCATAACTTATATATCAAACTTATGTTTAACAAAATATATTTATGAACTTACCATGAACATCAGTATTTCCATCAGATAAAGTACGATAAATATCTTTAGAAAATGAAATATATGTCATATTTATCTCTGCAGTAATTCCATTTTTTATTAAAAATTCATAAATAAAATATTCAAAAACTTTTCCTTTTTTACGATTATCATTTTTTAATTTCAAAAAAGTATCAAAATCATCACCCAACAATTCTTCAACAAATTGATTAAATGTTTTATCAAGAACAGGAAAAACAATAGATAAAGACATTTTTTTTTTATAAATATAATTGAAGAAAATTTCTTGTATTTATAAATAAAATCAATTATTAATCTCTAATAATCGAAATTAATATTCATTTAAATGATATAAAAATTTATTGATTATATATAAAATATCAATAATATATATTTTACACCTTATAAAAAAATAAATAAATAAAATTTAAATGATAAATTAGTAATAAAAAAAAATAAATCATAAATATATCATTTGTCATTTAATAATCTTTTTAAATCTAAACATTCATATTCATCATGATTTTCTTGTCCACAGAAACAACAAAAACCTCCTTCATAAACATTAAATCTGCATTTCCTATTCTTGTATATCCAATGATATTTTTTCTTTCTCTTTGATTGTACAAATACTGCATCATTCTTGTAAAAATCTACACAATAACATCGTTTTTTCGCTTTTTGATATTCATCTTTATCATATTCGTAAAGATGAAAATTACATATTTGATCTATATCATGACCTTCATACATCATAGATGCCCTAAAACAAAAATAATAATAATTTCCTACTTTTGATTTTTTCATTTCACTATAATATAACATATCCTTACATTCGCACTTCACATAATTTTGACACAAACTCTTATTCCAAAAAATATAATATCGAAAACAGCGTAATTTCAATAAAAAAATCATTTATTTTATCATGAACTCCTAATTTACAAAAAGAATTTATGATCATTTTCTCCCAGAAAAATGATAATTTATATTTTCTCCATTCCATATATTTATGATAATCTGTAAAATCTTTTGATTTTGATTCCAAATCTTGCTTCTTGTATTCTTTTATCTCGAAATACAAAAAATATTCATCCAAAAATAGTAATTCAAATATTTCTTTAAATAATTTACTCATTAAACGTAAAGCATCAATAATTTTCTTTGGATGATTCTTTGTTGGTAATTTACTATTCGTTTCATCAATATATCTAATAAGATCACAAGATATAATTCTCATAACTTTGACAATAAGTTCATTCGGTAGCAATAATAAATATTGAAACATTCTTCAAAAGTCTAAATTTTTACTGTTTTTATTTTTACTGAAATCGCAAGAATTATTAGAACCACGTTTGCCTTTAAATGTTGCAACAAGAAATATTCCAAAAAGAATTGAAACTGCAATAACAACAGGTGCCATTTCTTGTTGTCTTGAAATCCCAAAACTCGACTTATTTATATCATTATTCAATAATTTATCATGATATCAAATTAAATAAATAAAAATTATCAAATGAAGATCTTTTAAATAAATTTAAATCATGATTTAATCTTTAAAAATAATAAAATTTAAAATATCATGACAAAATATCAGACATGATTAATGGTTATTTTTCTGTTCTGTCAACGCATCGAACAGATTTAATGGTTATTTCACTATATCATGAAATGATATCGGACATGATTAATGGTTATTTCACTATATCATGAAATGATAT